TTCTTCAAACAACAGGCCTGAATTTTGCTTCGGTATTTTGAATAAATTCAGTTCAATGTTACATTTAAGCAGTAGAAAATTCCATATATAAAAGCATGCAGCAACACGACGGACAAGATTTTGGAATAGCAATGTCTTCCTCCACATACCACTTCATTAAAGATAAATAGATTTTTTGTTTAAAAGATTTCAACATACTGCCTTCTGTTTGATTCCTGCCAAAAAGAAATCAGTGTCTGGTTTATATGTTGGTGTAAAGAAGATAGAGGCAGGATTCCCCCTGGTGTAATTCCCATCCCATCAAAGACTGGCTACTGGAATCTGTTTTCCTGATTACCAGTAGAATCATTCAGATCACAGAATGTGTTTTGGGTCAATCTCTTAAGATGAAAAGAAGCAACAGAGGTCTGTACAAAAGTATGGCACCCACTTTTGTGATTATTACTTCTCATTCCTGCTGAATTATGGATCCAAGTCTAGAAGCGCAGTGTTTACATGTATAAGTGACATAAAGGAAGAAGATTTATGAAACTGAGTGACATAGAACCATAAATGTATTTAACTTCCAGTATCAGAAAGCTCAAATAGAGATCCATTCTGTTAGTATATGACTCCATAAGTTTCTGAGTTGCAGGAAAATATATCTGATTTCTGGACACTATCATGCATTTAAACAGTATCAACTGTGTTGATAGGTAACTGAAAATAATAGATTAAAACGCAGATAGAAGGCAGGTCAGAAATTTTGGAGGTTCTGACTCAGCTGAGCTTTTCTTGGCCTTTTTCTTTCAGCAACAAATTCCTATTAAAGATCCTAGGCAATTGAAAAGTGAAAGGATGTCAGATTTGGTGGTGTTGGTCTTATATCATCAGCCATGTTTGAGACAGAGATATAAATGTAATGGTCATCCCCTGGCAGTGCAGCAAAGTAATGACCTATCCAGTCAGCCAAGAGTGGTATGAGATCACTATATGATAAAGTAAGCACAAGAGATTAATTAGATCAGATCCTCAAAGGTGATTTGCCTTTTAAAAAATGCCTCTGCCTTCCTCATTAAGCAATGCCAGGAGAAGCTAGTTGAGATGGCAGTGTGGTTAACACATACTTTCTCAAGGTAGTGGCTGTTCTGTCTTTCCTGTCATGAGGATATATGGATTTCATTTTGTCACTCTATTCAACAACAGTAGGGATGTTCTATCTGTTTTCATGAAGGTAGAACAAGATCTTTATGAGAAAAAAAGAGCCTTATATTTGTGCCTTTAAAAAAAAAATCTAAATAAATTGCAGAACAGAAAATTTTAGATAAACTCCTCTTAGCCTTTGACACTTAGTCTACATTTCCCCCATCTTCAAAGAGAGATTTAATCAATAGTCCTCTTTGCCCATGTACTGGTAAATGTCTGCATAATTTATAAGCCACAGGCATCCAAGACAGAGTGAAGGAACAAGCAGTACCTGGTTAAGACAGAAAATACCAAGTGTTTATAAAAGGGAGGATGAAGGTTTTCATGCAGCATAGTTTATCCAACTGTGAAAATATTAGTTGGGATATTACTGAGCGGGTGCTCAGAGCTCTTTTGGCTGCTGACCAGGATAAATGGTCCAAGCAGAGAAGCTGACTGATTAGTTACATATAGAGAAGACCACAAAGAAACAAGAGAAACATGACTCAAGAGAGAGCAGCATGGGGTTTGACGAATTAATCCAGCATTTCCTGAGTTATTTTCTCCTGTGCTCTGCTCCTCAGTCAACTCTACTCTTCTTTCCACCTTCACAACTAACCCCACCTTGCACTATCCTATGGGTTTACAGTTGCAATTGTTGTCACATCCTTTTCTTCAGGATGCTCTCTGATTTGAGATACATAGGTATAATTGCTAAGACAAAAGTTTATCTCAACACAAGAAAGGCACAGGGTTCAGCTATATCACCACATCTTTTCACTAACAGTATAATCTTAAAATCCCAGAGAAAAAAAAAAGCACTTTTCTCCTTCATGTGACATCCCCCTCAATCACACTTCCACGACTTTTTGCACACTCTAAATGTAATTCTCACATCTGATTCAATTGTGTGTAAGTTTGCATCTCAGACAGGCTTTCTGCACTCATCAGTACTTTGGACACTGTGCTGAATGCCCCTCTGAGGCCTTGTCAGTCTTCCCATTGCTATTCTGCCCTGTGCTCAAAGAACAGTTTGAATGAGATTTATTTTAGACAAAGTGAGAATGAGTTTGTTCAGCTATCTGACAGGCTGGAAAGATCTCCATGTCCTAGGATACTCCTTTGTATATTGGATTTTAACCCTATTTGGTTCTGGCTGAAGACCTTTATACAAAGTCAATATTTTGCCACAATCTAGTAAGCAATATTTAAAAATACTATAACAAAATTATATCCTAAAACCAAAAGAAAGCTGACATCCTGAAATCCATATGGAAGTGGATGCTCTTGTTTGCTCTTGATTTTATAAGCAAACTGCTTAGGTACTATTCAAGGTACAACAATGTGAAACATGGGCTACCTTTAGGTTATTTTCATTGTCATATATTAGAATATTCCTTTGTTTCTGATAATTTCAGAAGCAAGCTGGAGATCATCCGTTACTGCTTCCAATCTCTAAAATATTAGGTATAACATATATAAGCATACATTACTTAACTGCTGAAGTAATATTGCACAGAAACCACTCAAATATTAACCTACCACAAAGACAGTTGAAGTTTACAGCATTCAGGACACGCTGTGCTCAGTGCTTTTCATATCACGGGAATACACAACTGTAAGAGATGGTCCTTGCCAAACTGACCCCTTAGTACAAAAAAAGCATCATCAGCTACACATAGAATGAGGTTTTATCTGGCCTTATCCCCAAACATTAAGGATTGCATAGCTTTGAAGGGTAGCCTGCTGTAGAGTTTATTTCCCATTAAAGTATTCTCAATAGCTTTCTTAATCGATATTTCCTACTTAGTTTTCCTGAAATATAAGCTAAATATTCCTGTTGTAAATTTGAGAGCATTGTTCTTATGATTTTGTAGTCAAAGGCCATAGAGAATTAGCTCTAACAAACTTTTGTACATTGGAGAGTCTCTCACTGTAACATAACACTTGATGCTGTTTTTCACAAGCCTTTAATAATTTTGACTTTGCCCACACATGATCACATTTTCAACTGTGCCCACTCAATACATTTTTCCTCAGCAGCTTCTAATGTTCTCCTAGGGAAAGTCTGATTGATGTTTGTTGTACACAGATAAACTCAATTTATTATTGCCAACATTTGCATGCAAATTAATGGTACACTAGTATCTCCATCAGTATGACATACTTTCTCCTTGCTATCCCATCTTTTAAATATTTCTATAAAATAAATTAGCAGTGTTTGACAATCTGCTCCATACACCTCCACCTGCATACCTACATCACATGTATTTCCATCTGTTACACTCCAGCCTATGCACAGCCTTCTGCTCTATAAAATAAACCCATCCTGTTCAAAGCTATTGTGTTTATTTCTTTATGGTATTTAATTTTCAAAACAATATGATTGCTAGTCACTTTGACTCTATCAAGGATTTTCTATCATTCTTGCTTTGAGTCACAGAATCATCTAGGTTGGAAAGGACGTTGAAGATCATCTAGTCCAACCATTCACCTAGCACTGACAGTTCCCAACTACACCATGTCCTTAAGCACTAAATTGAATCTTATTTTAATTTGTAGAAACCAGTAAAGAACTCAGACATTTTATTCGCAGCAGCACCAATTAGCACTGTTTAGTATAGTATGTTTTTTAATGTAGCTCTGTATTTCACAGTTCATCACGTTTACAATATGTTTTTGTAAGTGGTTGCTTTGCTATACGCACACTGTGCTTTACACAACCATTTAATGTGTTGGTTTTATTGCAAACAAATCTGTTCTCTGCTAAGCATTTATCACTTGTTTATGATCAGTTCATATTTCTTAATTAAATGCTTTTTTAACTCTTCAGTGGAAAACCACTATTTGAAGATACCCTTTAAAATTCACATTCCTGTGTTGCAGTAATGACAGAACACAAATGGAATTGTAATTACCTGTCAGAAGGACAAATACAAAGGAAAGGATTTCAGTAGGACTGTCACTATTCAGATTCCACTTCCGTTCCCTTATTAGCTCATCCACTAACTCTTCAAATTCAAATATTTCTTTTACCCTGCAGTTCTATACCATCATGATTAATGTTCTCCTCTGTGGATCATTTTTAGTAAATAGTCCACAGTTGTCCTCACAACATCATTTTGTGTGGCTTTCTTATGTGATAGAAAAATTGCAACCCTCATTCTCATTCTTTGCCAGGTTTCTGTTTAGATAGAATACTTTGATTACTCCATTCTTTCCAAACACTACATTTTTAATTTTCTAAATATATAAGATGTGACTTAGTAGAAGACTGGTATGAAATAATCTTTCAGCTAGCCTAATTCCATAATATGTGCCAAAGCTATACAAAGTTATAATTCCAGTCTGGATGAAGGCCATATATTTTGGTCAATGTCAACTGTATCCAAGTTTTAGGTATAACTATGTGAAATTCCTCTTTTGTAAGTGAGTGGTTTTGTTTGTTTGTTTGAAAACTTGGGGGGTGAGGAGGTGTGGTGTTTGGTTTTGTGTTATTTTCTGGTTTTGTTTTTTTTCATAAAACATGTCTGCATGCTGTTATTTGGAAAGCTCATTTGAGAGTCCCACAGGACCCTGAATTCCTTCAATCTTATTTTCTGGCATTAAATATCTCTTGCCAAATGCAAGTATAGAGTTGTATTTCTAGTTAGTAAAGCACTGCAGGCATTAAATTATTGGTTACTAAATATTAAACTTGAAAAAGGAAGCGGTCCTTTATATTTAATTAAGGTTAGTCAGTAAAAATTGTAGATTTGAAAGGTGTAGTTCTATATTTATTCTAAGCTGAATCCACTAAGCCACAAACAAATGGTTTTCTATTCTTCTGCTTCTAGGAAATCAAATAGAACCTTGCAATTACTTGAACTGTGCACCATCTGCTGCAACATATATCTGCATAACACCTTCAGCAGACGTCAGAGGAGCTAGAGGAATAGGTATGTCTGTGAAGTAGATTAGTATTCCTGAGGCTTAACTTATTTCAGAATAGTTCTTGTTAAAAATATTGTTCATGGCAGTATGAGGAATTGAGAAGCATTCATGACGTGCTTCTATTTGAGCTCCTACTGTCAAAAACTTCAATATATAGCAATAACAGGGAATCTTTCCATTAATTTGTTTGATTTGGAGCAGGTCTTTGGAAAAAAATATTATTTCCCAGTTCCCCACAGATTTTAAATTTTTATATGGTTTTAACAGTTTCTTTTTATCTGATTAAATGTCCATGGAAAACTATTTTAAAAGGTTCATCAGTAATATAAGTCAAGCCTTATAAAATTTAGAACAAGCACTGGCATCTGATAGCAGCTATTTTCTTAGCTTGGAAAGTTCAGAAAACTAAGAGCAGCATAGAAACGTTCTGTGAGAGAGTATTGAACATTTGAATAAGTCAGAGGAAGTATTTTCAATAGTACAAAAAGGCAAAAAAATATCCCATCATCACTTGAAATGCAGTTGTATGCTTGTTTTTTGTTGGACAGTACTGAAAACTTTCTTTGTATCTACTGTATAATCTACTTCAAGTATGAAAACTGGACAGAACAACTTTTCTCTCTGTAAGGAATATTTTTTTTTTAATCAGAAAAATATTTTTACCCAAAAGTAAAAAGTTTCAGTACCTTTTTGCAGATCCTTTAAAGTACAAGAATTTGATTACATTGCTAGAAACACTGTAGGTCAACAATTATTTTTTTTTAAATAATTATACAGTCTGTATCTAATGGATAATTACTTCAGACTGACATACCATTTGGGTATGTATTTATATTAAGGTTTACCTAGTGAAATGAAAATAAAATGTGAGAAAAAACAGATTTGGAAGAAAAAACCTGAAAGCTCTTTTTTCAGAATACACAACTATTAACATTCATGGAAGGATTAGTAGGATGTATTTCTATCCCTTACCACATGCTGGATTTTCTTAAGTAATTTCTATGCTGAGTGCTTAAATTTATTTCCTTAAGTATTTCTTTTATTCTAATAAACTTTTTTTTTTTGGTCAGTTTACGAGCATATCCCATATGGATTCTATCATAATGATTGATGCAATTTGCATTTTCTTTTTAACTGATTTTTTGAGATCTCATATATTAGCAACAATATTTAAAAATGGGAGCCAAAGAATCTTGACCACCTGAGAAATTCCAGCATTTCAACACCTAAATTGCCCCATCTTGATATAGATTATAGAAGAAATTAGTTTCAAAATGGCAATTCTGAAAAAATCAACTTCAAAATATTTGTCATTTCATGTTATTTTTGTGATATTCCTAGAACTGAATAGTTGTAGTTTATTAGAGTATTTTGAATTCACAGTTTAATTCAAATAAATTCTGTGTCAAGCAGATCTTAGAGTTGAATTAATTTTTAATTTCCTCTTCTAAAAATAAAACCAAAACCCTTAAAAAAATTAACATCCCTTAAAAAGTCTAGTTTGTAGAAACTGCATTATTGATTAAGAATGTATTGTCACATGGAATTTCCAACCATTTCTAGTTAAAATATTGTATAAAATGCTGGCTCTGCCAATTAGACATGCATCAGTCCTTCAGCATAAAGCCATTTTACCATGTGATGTTCTAATGCAAAAGGCACGACATTTATGAGAAGAGCACTGGGTTTGCCAGAGTGAATATTTAGTTATTCTTTAGGTTGTCATTTGTGGGTTTATGAAAGAACAAATGTTAAAAAAGAAAGTCATTCTCTTGTAATCATCTGTGTCCCTCTCTACTTGCAATACAAAGTACAACATAATAATATATTTACTGCACAAAACCAGCCACAGAAATATATAACAGAAATATATACATCCATTTTGAAAGTTACAGCAGATGTTCACCTATTTGAAGTGAAGTCCAAGAGCTTTCCCACCCCCCGAAAGCCCTGCCTAAGGAAAAACAAACAAAACCAAACAAAATCAAAACAGACACACACTTTTCCTATATATGGATCTCAGTTTCCCATTTACTCAAGGCTTTTGGGTTACAGAATGACCTAAAAGAGATGAAAATGTTCACAAGATGCATGAAGCGGCTTTATAATTTATTTCAACCATTGCAGTACAAGAGTTTTGAAAATTGCCAATCTGCAGTAAAAGCCATCCCCACCCCACCTTCTTTTAAATGTCATCTGCAAAGCTAAAAAAAGAGTAAGAAAAGTTGTTCCTCCCTTTTACTACCTAATGATAGTTTATTTGCCCATGAATGTCCAACCAGGTGGTTCTTCAGCATGACAGGATTCAAATGAATGTTCCCAAGTGCGAGATGGGGATGTTGGAGCCTGTTGTCATGACCAGGTGTGCATTAAACAGACATAGGCTAAAATTCAGAAAACCATCTGGAGAGGGAAAAAATAGAGTGCATTTTGTTTGCACAAGCTCAGAATAGGTTATGGACTGGCAGTGCATCCCCTGCAAGGCAGACAAGGAGGCGAATGGTCAGGAAAAGAGGGGGAAAGCACTCACTTCCTAGGTGAGTACTATTAATATTTTGCCCAACTCCAAAAAGGAACTAGACATGAGGACATTGCAAGGTACTTATGTTTGCATGGCCTACTTCTGGATTATAAAGTCCCAAATCGCTCCAGGCATCTCTGAGTAAACTGTCTGAAAGCCGGGAATTAAGACTGATATCTGCCTTCTGCATTTGTTGTGACCTAACTCCAAGCAGCTGCACACTGGGCTAATTCAGGTAAAACATTCATAGATTTCAGTTGGAAAAAATAATCTTTAAGCCTAAAAATTGACATATAATGCACATTTACAAAAGGGCACTTGAGCCTGAAATATATCTAAAATATTAAAGTCTGATTCTAACTCTAATGAAAAATACCACTGACCAGTAGGGCTATTCATCTGAACGCTGCTGCCACTAGAAATTGTCAGTGATGCATTTAGAATCAATGTATGCCTCCAGAACCCATATCTAAATCAGAATCCTGTGGGAAGGAACATTTGTGGCTTTGGGCAGAATGAAAAATAGCAAGAACAGACTCTCAGATCCTAAATGTGGGACCATTTTTTTTTTTTAAAGAAAATTAATAGATTTTTAGAGCACGTTATTTGATAGAATAATGAGATTTTGAACTGTGATTCTGAAATGTATTAATAATCACACAAGAAATTGCAGAGATACTTGAAGTTAGACATATGTGTGAGTGCCTTAGAGACAATTTATTGTACTCTTGCTCACGTTAAATAATTCCTTTACCTTTTAACTCTGCCTAGATGAATATTCTTTAGCTAATATTGCTCCCACCTCAGTATTCTCTCAATATCATCTCCATGATTAAGTATTTATTACTAATTAAAGAATCACGTTGTGGCAGACTGTGGAGTAGTAATCACAGAAAAAGAATAGTTTTCCAGAGTACAGGCAATGCTGTACCTCAAGATACAGTTCTCCAGGGGTGCACCATGATTTGATTCCGCAGCAAGTGGGGGATAGCCCTCATTTCCAGTCTGTATCGACAAACTACACTACTGCTGTCTCCACCCCCCGCCATTCCCTCTGGGAGGAAGATAGGCCAGGCTCAGGGAATGGATGTGAACAGATTAGCTCATCTGAATCGCAGGGACTCACCCAAACCTTGCTCTAGAATTACTTCAGTATTCTTTTATTCTTAGTATTTCCTTTTACACATTTAATACAGGTATGGAGAGTGCTATGAACAGCAAAGAAGGCTTCCCTGGCCAAAAAGCTCTGAAACTGGTTGATTTGAAAAATCTAATTATTCACAAAAGGAGGTGACTTCTGCAGCAATCTAAGTGCTCTTCTACATGATCAAAGAGTATGCTTTTGCTTCCAATTCAGAAAAAGGTCTGTTTACAAAGAATAAACTGTGAAAAGAACATTGATTTGAACTGAGGAGAAAAATAATTGTGGTTTTTTTTCCAAACTGAGATACTGTCATACCAGTCTTGTTTAATGAAACCTTCATGAGATGTGATCTCTATAAACAGGCATTTTTAAATAGAAATATTATTAGAAGCTCCTGAACAGTTCAAAATGTGTATATTGTGCTATAGCTAAGGATTCTGAATCAATACCTCTCACTACAATATTGAGAGCTAAACCAGTGAAACTTTTCATAAGTTTACTCAGCTGTGTATAAGGAGTTTCCTAATCTCATAGTTAATGTAAGGACTGGAGTAACAGGGGGAAAGGGACAAGTATTCAATTCCGAATTATCGTTAGGTAGGAATGACTTTTTTTCTATGTTTCAATATTTGTTAAGCTCTATTCCGAATGGATATAGATTTTGGATTAGTCTGAAGAAAAAATTAAAAAATCACAATAATAGAATAGATTTACTTCCACTTGTTATATTCCATACTTATCACAACAATTTCCAACACACCTAGCGGAGCTGGGCTACATGACAGTCTCAGGAGAAAAATCTCCGCCTAACTTTCCAAAAGAGAAATATCGGCAGCTTTTAAGAATTGTCTAGTTATTCCAGGGTTACTGTGTGATAAAATAATAATAAAAGAGCCCATCAGTGTCTCATTTCCTACCACTTTTCACTGACTCAACCCCTTATTTGTAAGGATGAAGTCCTGAAATTAGTGAGAGTTTTTCAGAAATACTGAAATACTGAGTATTTCAGAAGTAAAATTCGACATAGAGTAAGGGTGGCAAAACCAGACTTGTTCTAAACAGGTAAATACATACTGTGTGCATACTATGAAAAAACGTATTAGTAGATTCCTTCATTCATTGGTTTTGCAAGCAAGTTGCAGAAGTTTGTGTTGTGAAAGTGCTACCTTTAAAGGTCTCACCTTACAAATCTTTCTTATCACGTATAGGACTCTGCTACCTTTTGTAGGAGAACCTTCACTGTTAAAGCTTGCTTGTGTGAGTAAAAGTGGAAAAAAAAATATTTATCCTTTTGTTTTTCAGAACCAGACTTTACATAAAGTCATGAACAAGAAGGACCT